CACCTCCCTTAAGGAACTGAAGAAACAAGCAACATTATACTTAGTTTTGCTGCTATTATTTCATATCAAATTCTTTTTTTTTTCTCAATTAACATCAATCTTTTAAGGTATTAGAGATTGAACCCAGGGAGTGCTCCTCCACTGGACTACATCCACAGCCCTTTTTGTTTTATTTTGAGACAGGTTCTCCCTAAATTGCTGAGGCTGGTCTCAAACTTGCACTCCTCCTGCCTCAGCCTCCTGAGTAGCTGAGATTACAGGTGGCATTACCAAGCCCAGCTAACATAAGTTTCAAAATGGAAGAGGGTAGTAGCATCTACTGGTCCCCTTCATCAAGCAACCCCAGGGATCTGTCTTTTCACTTTCTCCCTTGCAGAAATATTGAGGTTTCTTCCTAGATGAAGGCCCTAGTGGGCCTAGTAGAAGCGGCTTATACTTTTAGAGAAAATGAGCTTGTCAACTGGGTAGAGACTGAATCTGGATAGATGCCCATATTTAGCTGTTGGGAAGAGGAAAAGGAACCAATAAAGGGAACAGAAAGCGCTGTCAAAGATGAAAGCAGGAAATAAAAGCAGGTCAGGCTGAAGAAAGCAGCTGAGGGGAAGAGTCAGGGTCCAAAGAGAATCCAGAGCCTGCAGCCGCCACTGGTAGCTACCTGTGTTCTTAGGTAAGTTAGCCCACTTGGCCTTCATCTGGAGAACCACAGTAATAATGGAAACTACCACATGGGGTAGATGGAAAATTATCTAAAGGGCCTGGCACAAGACCCTGCACTTCATGGGCACTCCATGAATGTCTGTCATTGTCCTCTTTAGAAGAAAGGGGTGAGCAGTGGTGCCAGGGCTGGGGAAACACATTCACATCTGTCACTTAGGAAGTCAGCAAGGACCTTCTGGTGACCCATTTAGGCCAGTGTCAGGGAGCTCCAGGAAGGGAACGGTGAATCTGGAGCCACCCTGAAACTTCAGGGAGGGGAAGCATTGCCTCTCCAGGCCTCGCCATGGACAAAGAAAGATGAATCCTGCTGGGGGCTCTTCCTTCCTTTTCCCAGCTGTGTGAGGATGTCACCTTCCAGCTCGACTACCAGTTTTCTCTTCCTTTCCTACACTGTCCTTCCATCCTCTCCTCTTACCCAAACTGAGAAAATCCTCCCAGGGCTTCTGGAGAGGTTTTGAGGTAGCTGGTAGTCCTGGGCCTGACACTCAAGGTTTCCCCCACCTTCCCACTGCTTCCTAGGAAGGGCAAGAGGCAAGGGTAGTGGAGATGCTTGCGTTTGATGTTCCTTACAGACACCCCCTCTCCTTTCCCATTTTTTCCTTCCACACTGCATCCCTATCCTGGGCATTCCAAACACAAACTTGAACATGGGGCAAAAGGGCATTGCATCTCATCAGGATAAGCAGGCTGCCACAGCCCTTCCACTCTCCTTTTTCTCATTCCTTCTCTCAACCCACACTGAGTTGGGAAATGAGGCCGGGAGAAGAGGGGGTGGTCACAGGACTTGGCCTTGGTGTGTTAGTTTCCTGCCCCCAAACACCATCCTATGTTCTGGCTGAGTGACTAGAGAGCCAGGGAAAGAATTAGAGAGATCAGCCTAATGTCACTTTCCTATCCCTGTTCATCATTTCTCCAACATGCCTCTTGTCCTGACCCAGCTGCCCCCAGTATTTCTGGAGAAGCTTTGGAAAAGCCCAAAAGTTGCTGGCTCCTCTAACTCAAGCTGGGGAGAAACTAAAAATATGGAACAACTAATAAGTAATCAGAGAATCTTAATGGAGCATCGTGGAGGGGGTGTGAAGCTGTGGGAGTGGGGGTTAGTACTAAAGGTCCCTGTTGTGCTTGGAGGAGGTGGGGGGTGGAGCTTGGGCTGCAGCATTTCCTTACCAGCTCTGAGGAAGTGCTTCAGAGTTTTAACAACATGCAAGTAAGTACTGATCTCAGTGCAGCCCACAGTAGCCACCTCTACCCACCTCTTGCTAAGTCTCCACCTACAACCTCTCCCCAGGTTCTGTTGTCTCCTCCCCAAGCTAGCATCTTTAAGTAACTCTTGACCTTTCAAGGCTGCCCTTGAAAATCTATGCAGTTACTGAACTTGGACTTAAAGAGAGTGGCCCTGACCAGCTCTGCTCCTCTGTACCTGTGCAACCTTGAGCAAGTCACTGCAACTGTCTTGCACCCTGCAGAGTGGTGGTGTGTAAGCAAATGACAACTTGCATGTGGAGGTACTTTGTAAATCACTTCTCAGATGTCACTATTTTATTCTGATGCAGCTGTATAAAAACAAGGAAGGCAGGCCGACCATATAATGTATCCTCTTCTCATCCTTCCAAAGACAGTTGTGCTTTCCCCTCTAAAGAGCAGCAGAGTTTGCAGCCTAGGACAAATCCTGCTCCTACCCACCCTCTGCCTTTTGCACCTTCCAGCTTCAGGGCAGGGGTCCAAGTGGGGGGAGAAGGATGCTCTCAAAGAGTAACTTGAAGCTGATAACATTCAGAGCACTTATGTCACCAATACTCCAATCAGCCTGAAGGAGGGTGCACATCTGAGAGTCTACCAAAGGGTCATGAGAAGCAGGGAGTATACAGGTGGAAAAGGCCATTCTGTTCCTCCCACTCTTCCCAAGCACCAGCTCTAGAGTTTGGTGCCACCGAACCCAGTCACCACCCTGCTTTCTTACTCAAAAACTATCCCTCAACAGTTACTTAACCTTCCAGACTCCATTTCTCACTACTAAGGTAGGGGTAAACATATTTGCCTCAGAGGGGTATTGTGAGGGTTAAACTAGATAATGTATGGAAAGCACTTACACAGTGCCTAGCATACAGCAAGTGCTCAGTAAATTAGAATTCTTAATAATGAAGTCCTCCCCACCCTCACCAGGCTGCCCTGCAGAAACTGAAGGCAGAGGAGTACGTCCAACAGAAGAGGGAGCTCCTGGCCCTCTACCGGGACCAAGGCAGGGAGTCCCCCAGCACCAGGCCCTCCACGCCTTCCCCAGAGGGCTCTCAAAGCAGTGCTGAGGGGAGGTAAGACCTACAAGCACCAACAAAGGAGGGGATCACTGGCAAAGAAGGGAAGAGGAGAAATCCAAACGGTTGAGAAGTGATAGTACGACCTTAGGGAACTACACGAATAGAGGAACACAGGCTGCAAGCTGGAGTAGAGTAGGTTGGTGCCAGCCATATGAAGGAATGCATGGGACAGGCTATAAGGGTCAGCCAGCCTAGGGGGAGTCTACAATGGGCACGGAGTAAAAAAAAACAGAAATATGACACATGAACTCCCTGCAAGGAGCAGGCTTCAGAATGAGCAGGTGGGTATGGGTATGCAGAATATCAGAACTGTAGGGTTGCAGCAAGTCCAATCCCCAGAGTGTAAGACATTCATCCAGGACAACACAGCTGCTTAGCAACATGCTTATGGAGAAAAGAAGAACCCATCATCGGGGCATAATTGAGTAACCCCCAGCTCTAGATCCACTCTGACCACCTATTTATACAAGGTCCGAGACCAGGTTCTATGGATAAAATGGCTTAGAGGAAGCGCAAGCTATTTTAGAGTGCAAGGTGTAGCTGGTGAGATGAGAAAAACAATCCGAGCCATGTAAGGGAAATAAGGAGAGAAGTTCGGAGAAGGAGCCCTTTCTGGATGGAGTAATCCAGAGAGACATCTAGGCATGAACTTGACCCCTAAGTATCTGAGTCTGACCATTTGTTATTCGTTGTAGGACTCCTGAGTTCACCGTCATCATCCCCCACCTTGTGGTGACTGAAGATACAGATGAAGATGCTCCCTCTGTACCAGATGATACCTCAGACTCTGGCTATGGCACTTTGATGTCAAGCTCCCCCAAGGCATCCCACTCTCGGCTAAGCCGTCTGCGCCCCAGGGCTCTTAAGCGGGACCCTCGGCTTACCTTCTCCACCCTGGATCTTCGAAATGTGCCTTTGCGCCCCCAGCCAGCTGACCCCCAAGCGCCCCAACGCCGAAGTGCCCCTGAACTGCCAGAAGGGATCCAAAGAGGGGGCAGTCTTCCGAGGGTAGACCCACCTACCTGGTCAGAGGAGGAAGATGGGTCCTCAGCAGGAAGGAACGTGGTGGCAGAAACCCTGCACAGAGCCCAACTTCGGGGGCAGCTCCCTTCCTCCCCGAACCACACTGACTCTGCTGGAGAAAGCCCCTGGGAGTCCTCAGAGGAAGATGAGGGGCCTCTCTTCCTAGGCCCTGGCTACAGCCCCTGCTCCCGCCCACTCCGGGCTGAGGACATGCTCAGGGAGATCCGAGAGGAATTGGCCAGCCAAAGGATTGAGGGAGCCCCAGAGCCTAGGGACAGCAGACCTCGGAAGCTGACTCGGGCCCAGCTGCAGAGGATGCGTGGGCATCACATCATAAAGCTGGACACCCCCCTGTCCACTTCGTAAGTGCTAAAGGAAAGCTGGCATGGGAGGGAAGAAGGGCAGTACGGAGTTGGGGGAGGCAGGGTGGCAGGATAGAAAGAGGGCAGTGCAGAGCAGAGACCAAGGCAGGGCAGGACCCCAGCCTCCTCCTTCACCTCATTCCTGACCCTCACTCTCCCATTGCCATTGACCTAACATCTACCTCCTTCCTTTTCAGAGAGGTATGAGAAATGTCGAGGCCCTTTGACCTTTCTCCCAGAAGAACTGTCTCCCCAAGAGTGCTGGTCACCACCCCCCATCCTGGACTCTACCTCAAGGACCACACTGCCTCTTGCTCTTTGGACTTTGAGGGTCAAGAACTGTAAATTTATGTATCATAGACACCCATGAGCCCCACATAAAAGTTGTACACAAGAATGACTGCTTGGTCTGTGCTAGATCAGTAGGAGAAGAACGAGAACTTGGGAAGGGGAATCACAATAAGCCCAGCCTTCTCCTCTGTCAGCTAGCATGATGGCAGTGGACTGCTGGCCCTAGTCAGGACCATTGCACCGCTCAGATTTGTGGTCTCTGCCCTAGCCTCTCACACTGAATGACCACTCCTCCAGGCACAGAGGTTTAATTTCCCAGTTTTAGTGTATTTACAAAAGTCCATAGCTCCAGCTGGAAGTCCCATTGTTCTGTGCTTGCCCCTGCTTTGGGACAATTCAGCTTACTCTGTGCTTGCCCGGAAGGGGGCAAATGGTGCCAAGTTTCCATTAGTGTGATATAATTGATTCAAAGATTGCTTATCTATTGTGAAAAAGGGCCCAGGACCAACCAGGAGCCCCTAGGCAGTCTTGCTGGGTCCCCCACACCCAAAACAGGCATGAGGCACGGTGCACCTATCCCAGAAACCACTCTTTGGGCTCTGGAAACTCTCAGCCAAGCTGAGAAAAGCTATATACACGGAGCGGGTAGCACCGAGTAAGTGACTCCGGCTGCCGGCTCTCGCCTTTCCCTCCAAGGCCCTTTCTCTCCAGAAAACGAGGTCCAGGGGGCATGTCGCAAGATCATCCCTGCAGGAAGCCCGAGTTGGAAGCAGCGGTCACAAGGACAGTGTTCTTCCCTGAGGCGGGGGCGTGGCCTCATCGGAGGAGGCTGGGTGTGGGCGAGAAGGAGGAGGAGCTACGCAGCGCCTCCTCTATGTCCTCCAGACAGCCGAGCAGGTCCATGTCGCGGAGCACTTGGCCCAGCAGGTCCAGAGTGGCCTTGTGTCGTGGTGTGCGCTGCCGCCATGCAGCCAGCATGCTGTAGTGCGCCTCGCGCAGGCAGCGCCCGTTCTGCAGCTCCAGCCTCTCGATCTCGTGCTCACCCAGTCCCAGACGCCGCACCAACTCCTTCCAGCGCGACGGGGGCACTCCATCCACCACTGCATACAGCGTCGCAGGGTCTGCTACAGAGGATAAAGACAATGAACCTCCACTGGCGGCCCTTCCCTGGTACCCTCCACCTAGCCTTGCTCCCTCCAAACTCACCATCAGGGCGCTGCATGCGGGCGGTGTCCTCCCACTTCTGAACCTGGGTGACGATGGGCGTGGAGGTGACAGGCATGGTGAGGATGGGGTCAGCTCCTTGGTGGGTTGGGGTCACCTCCCTCAGAGATGACACAGCCCTGAAGTTGGACCAATCAGTGGGGCAGGAGGGTTGGGTGGGGCTGAGGAAGGGACTGGAGCCTGAGTCTTGGTGCTTGGTGGGAATTCCTTCAAGCTCCCCCTGAAAGAGAGAAGGCACAGCATTAATGAAAGAGAAGAGAAAAGAACTCAAACTTCTTTATTCTGGAGGGTCTGGGGATAAATGGGATTTCTACTAGAGCCCATATGGTGAAAGATATTTGGGTATTCCAAAATTATGAGGAATAGTCAGGGAAGTTTGGGGTAGGTCCCGAGTTTCATCTCACCTCTTTTACAGGAGTTGATTTTTCACAAACTGAGAAAAGAGAGAGAGAGAGAGAAACCATCATAAATTTCACTTCCCCTCTCAGCCCTGGCAACCTGCACTGGGACTGGCCATGGGGACTTGCGGTGACACGCCTCAGGGCCTATGTGGCCCTGGGGACTAGAGAACTACTGATGCCACATTACCTCCCACCAGCCATCCAGGACCACCTCCAGCTTGGAGTCCTCAGCAGCAAACTACAAGGACACTTCCTCTCATATCCCTCCATCTTACCCATCTAATCTCCTACATCTCCACCAAACACTCTTTCCCTTCCCAAAGGCACTACTCACCAATGGAGTAGAGTTTGGACTTCCACCGAGGGTAGCGGCACATTAAACCAATGAGGAGTAAAGAAAAAAGACAAAGACCAAAGAGGATCACCAGGGGCAACAGCACTGTAGTACCTGAAGACAAAGCAGATCACAGTAAATGGGGAGGGGAGGGGGAACATCCAGGGATGCATGGGGTGGCAGGAGGCCAGGTGAACATGGGCACAATATGGCTTCTCCTTACCTGAGTCCAGAGGGTTCTGAACATTTTCAGATAAAGGTGGACACGAATTCATGCAGTCTGGGGTATTCTTACATCTAAAAGAAGAGACAGCACTGATGAAAAGAGACTCTACAACAAGAGGAACACAAAGAATGTTGGAAATGCTTTGCTTTACAAATATTTTTTGCTATCTCTTAATATAATGGAATTTAACCTATCTTGAGAAGTGATGCAAAAGAATGAAACAGTTAATCACAGAACTGTTTAATTTTAGATTTAGAAGGGATCTTGAAAAAGCTATGTTGAGAAAGTTAAAAGCATTCAAGGTTACAAGACCAGGGTATAGTTCAATGGTAGAACATTTGCACCAGGCCCTAGGTTCCATCTCCATCATTGGAAAAATAAAATAAAATTCAAGGTAGTTAAGGTCAGGATATAAATTCCAGCCCATTCATTAAGTATCACTGTGAAATAAGCAAGTCATTTCACCTCTAAGCTTCAGTGTTCTCACCAGTACAATAGGGCTAATTAGCCTGACATAGTCAGTACTTGATAAATGGTAATTATTAATGAGTTTGTTAATACAATATTAATATAATATTGTTTATTAATACATTGTTGGTAGGATTGTGGCAGAGAGAGGTGCTATGGTTTGGATCTGGAATGTCCCCCCAATGTGTTGAAGGCTGGGTCCCAGTCTGAGGCACTACTGGGAGGTGGTGGAACCTCTAGGAGGTGGGGCCTAGTGGGAGGAAGTTAGGTCACTGCAGACGTGCTCTTGGATTAAAACGGGCCCACAGCCCCACTCCCCTGCCCCCAGTTTCTTTCTTTCCCTGTTTTCCAACCTCCATGAGGTAAGCAGCTTTGGTCTACCACATACTCCAGCCATGATGTTCTGCCTTATGACAGGACCAGAAATAGTAGAGCCAAATGACCATCGACTAAAACCTCTGAAACTCTGAGCCAAAATAAAGTTTTCCTCCTTATCAGTTGATTGCCTCAGGTAGTATGTCACAGGGATGGAATGCAGACAACACAAGAGGTCTAAAGCACTTTTTCTCAAATAACATTGCCAGTGATAGTACCTGGCTTTGAGTGTGGGGGTGACAAACATGCACATGAAAGGAAGGTTGTCACTTTGCTGCACCCCACACAGATGCCCCTACATCTCACTAAGGGCAGCCAGAGTCCTCTATAGAAGTAGCACATTTTCACATGTGGAGTGATAACTACATTGGGGAAGCTAGAAGGAGCTTGAGAACATGAGTTCTTAGTAGGAATCTGACAACAGGGAAAGGCACTTTGGCCCACCTCACAAGCTCATGGTGAAAACCATGTGGGATGAAGGTAAAAACTCTCAAGAAGAATAACGCTTGGTTGAAAAAAAGAAAATAAATAGTTTTGTGTCAGACACTTTTGTAAGTGTGTGTATGTATGTGTGTATGTTACTGGGGACAGAAACCAGGGCCTCCCAAATGCTAGGAAAGTGCTCTATCACTGATCTACACCCTCAGCCCCACTATCCTTACTTTAAAGGTAAGAAAAATAAGGCTCAGAAATGTTAATAACTTGCCCAAGGTTGTACAGCTTCCAAGTGGCTATGCTGGGATTTAGGCCCTCAAAATTTCTTCTTAGCAAGCAAGTGTGCAAGAACAACCTCTGAGTCAGGCATGGTGCCAAGTCACTGTAATCCCAGTGACTAGGGAGGCAGAGGCAGAAGGATTGCAAGTTCAAAGTCAGCCTCAGCAAGTTTTAAGGCCGGCCCAGGCAACTTATCGAGACTCTGTCTCAAAATAAAAAATAAAAAAGGCTGGGAATGTACCTCAATAGTAAAGCACTCCTGGGTATTGAGAAAAGAAAGAAAGAAAAGAACAGCATCTATGGATCCAGGAGTGAGAAGGCCTTATCAAGAGGACTGGAGCAGAAATACCATAGCATAGCAAACCTAAGATGCCATCAATAATAAGAGATACCATTCTTGATATACCACACACACAGCACATGTTCAAAAGCTACCAATTAAATCATGATACATCATCAATTGTTGTAAGGCACAGTCTGATTTTAGAAATGTGAAAGTAGATGATGTCCTAGAATCAATGAACAACAATACACCCTGTAGCTCAAGTATTTGAAAACCTGAATTGGAAGGACTGCAAGTCCTGGGGGAATGAGCTTCTATCCAAAGACTTTTGTGTGTGTGTGTGTGTGTGTGTGTGTGTGTGTGTGTGTGCGCGCGCGCGCACTGGGGATTGAACCCTTCGGGAGCTTAACCACTGGGCCCCATCTCCAGCCCTTCTTTTACATTTTATTTAGATACAGGGTCTTTCTGAGTTGCTTAGGGCCCTGCTAAATTACTGAGGCTGGCTTTGAAATTGTGATCCTTCTGCCTCAGCCTCCAGAGCTGCTGGGATTAAGATTTGAGGAACATTTTTTGGGGAAGAGGGAAGGTCGTCTGGTATCTTGATGAAGTGTCTCCCACTTGGCTGGCCAATAGGAGAATGTGCATTCTGAGTGTTTCCCTTGCTCTGCTAGGGCCTCTCAACCACAGTCACCCCACTCATCTCAGCCCCCCATCCAACACCTGCTGCTGGCAGATACTCACTCACTGCAGGAGACACACTCATTTTCTTTTGGAAAGAACCCTGAATGGCAGTTGCACACGGTGTTCTGGCTCTCCTGGCCTGTGGAGAGAAGGCACAGCTACAGAGGGTGCACCCTGCACCCTGGGGACCAGAAGACAAAAGTGGGGTAGGGTGGGATGGACATGGCCCTCAGACCCATGACCACAGGAGTAGGAAGAGGCACACTCCTCATGGGGTGCAGCAAGGTGATGATCTTCCTTCTGGGAGATAGGCTGACCCCAGGGCAGGGAGACGGCTTGGTCTTGGGATCAGGCAGGCCACACTCACAGGGGATATGCACGGTTCCGTTGAGGCAGAGGCTGCAGGTCATGCAGCGAAAACGTTTTCCACTAAAATAATGGCGAAACTGGTTTTTCTTGCAGCCACACACAGTGTCCTGGTTCACTGTGCAAGGAGAAAGCTCCACCTGGGATAGTTCTGGTGAGGGAAGAAGATGGGGCTTGAGTTCTGCATCCCTTTGCCATATTTACTCGACTTCTCCTTTCCCTGTGTCCCTTCACCCCCAACACCACGTGCACCTGTCTCTGTGACATACATTCATACCACGCATACAGCCCACACGAGCACACTCATCCTGCCCACACCCCCCAGCATCGATGCACATACCTCACAGGACACTCAAGTCCCCCCAAGAGTCTGGACCATACACACTCCTATTAGAGCCCTCAGCCTCTCCTGAGACACACCTTTCCGACACATGGAGCAGCTGAGGCACTGTCTGAGGTGGTTCTCTGAAGCAGTAAAGGTGCCATTCTCACACTCCCTGCAGTCCGTGTCCAGCCCTGGGCCTGGACAGTCATTGTACAAGTAGGTTCCTACAAATGGGGTGTCAGGGTTAGGCTGAGCTCAGAGCTCACAGAAGGAAGTCTCTAGGAGAAGAAAAGAGGGAGAAAATTCCAGCCCAATAGAGGCAGTAAAGTTAGAGGAATCAGGGTGGGACCTAAGTTCTCGAACATCTGTAACAAGCAAAGGAAGACTCAAGGCCCCACGACTGAGGGGACTCACTGTTACCACTTTCTCCTACCTTTGTGGCACTTGGTACAGCAGATGGAATGATTTTGAGGGTGGTTGTATTTCCCCTGAGGACATAGACTATCCCTCTTCTCTCGGTCCATAAGAGGAGCCACCAGTCCAATGACCCCTGAGGGGTGTATCCCCACCAACACATTCAGAAGCACCTGAAGAAGAATCAGAGAGAGGGGACACCATCAGGAGAGGGAGGGGCAGGCGGACTAGGGGCAGCAAATCTAAAACCTCTGTGGCTCAAGTCCTTCCTCAAGGAACTGTTCACCCCTTGGACAGGGGATGCAGAGCAATCTAGGGCTTAATTGTACTCTAGCCGTCCTGTGTGCTAAGTTTTGCTCCTTCAAATCAAGCAAGCCCCAGGCCCAGGCTATATCTTATCCTGATTCATAGTTCCCCACCACAGCCAACATTGCTGGCCACAGGGCAGATGTTCAAGGGATGTTTAGTGTTGTTGTTGTTTGCAGTGTTGGAGTTGGAACCCAGGTCCACCCATGTGCTAAGCACATATGCTACACCTCCAGCTCAGGAGATGTTTTTTGGATTGGGAACGGGCAGATCACTTCCACTATGGCCCTTTTTTTCCAACTAGCCACCCTAAAGATTGAGGTGACATTTCTCCATCTGTGTCTGGCAGGGTTCTCAGTGTATTCACTTTGTAACATTAACAGAAGTAAACAGTTAGGTTCTGTAAACTTTCCTGGATTGTTATACCACTAAAAAGTATTTGGGATAAGCTGAGCATGGTGGGGGATGCCTATAATTCCAGAAATGTGAGAGTCCAAGTCAGGAAGATCACAAATTCAAGGCCAGCCCGGGGAACTTAACAAAACCCTGCCTCAAACTGAAACATTAAAAGAGGGCTGGGGATGTAGCTTAGTGGTCAAGTGTCCCTGGGTTCAATCCCCAGTATCACAAAAATAAATAAATTATAAAAAGTATTTTGGGAAAATCAGATGGGGATGAAAGTGAATGACATTCCTACAGGTACCATCCCTAGGGAGTAGGCAGAAGCAAAAGAAGGACATTTTTTTTCCTATAAGCTAAGCAAGCACTACACCCCCAGCCAAGCATTTCTTTATACATTTGCATCAAACCTTACTCAGGACCCTGCCAGCATACTTCATGCCGCATCACCTTCCACAGCTAAATTTACAAGCACTCACACTAAGCTGGTGAGGACAAATGGGGAGGGGAGTCAAAGTGAAACTTCAGGGGTAAAGGATAGGGTAGGCGGTGAGAAACTTTAGGTGGGAGCAGGAGTGGGCAAAGGCATGCAGGTCACAAGTAACTAGAGCTGTCCAGAAGCTGGAGATCAGGCTCAACTGACTGGTCAGGAGGGTGTGCCTGAGATCAGCCCTTTTCACAGCAGGGTATCTGGAAGGCAGATTTCAGAGCTGCGTAAGTTTGGACCAGGCCCACAGCAGCTAAATTGCTTTCCTGGTTCTGGTTTCAGTATGGAGAAAGCAAAGCCAGGAGTCAGTATTTAGCTCCACTCAGACTGTTCTTTAATCTGTCCTGGCTTCATTTTTGGTTCTCTCTGAGCCTTGATTCTTCTCCTTTTCCCCTAATACGAGCCATTTTTTTGTAACAATTTAGGATGTCTTCAAAAGTTTGTTAAACACTGGGATAAGCCTGGCATGATGGCACATGATGCAATGCCTGTAATTCCAGTTTCTCAGGAAGCTCAGGCAGCAGGAGCACAAGTTTGAGACCAGCCTGGGCAATTGAGTGAGACCCTGAGCAAGCTAGCAAGACCCTGTCTCAAAATAAAATTTTAAAAGGGTGGATTATGTAGCTCAGTGATAGTATTTCTCTGGTTTAAACCCCAGCACACAAACACACACACACATACACACACACACACACACACACACACACACACACACACACACAGCCCCACTGGGGAGAATCAGACTAATTGGATCACAGAAACCCAGGAGAAGGCCTGGCAGGCCACAGCCGCCCAGCCTTGACAGCTCCCTGCAGGCCCTGAGGTCCTAACAGCTCCAAGCAGGCAGGCAAGTTGCGCCCTGTCGTCTGCCAGGAGCCACTGCTGCCAGCGGCTGCGCAGGTCCGGAAGCTCAAACCTCAGCCACAAACATGGGAAGCCATACACAGAAACAGCAGCAACCCCTATAGGCAGGCGTGTGCCCACACACTCAGAGGGCAGGGGCTCCTAGGGCAACAGGAAGGGTTGGTTATGGGAAGAACTTCCCAATCCTGAAATGTGTGGTTCCTTTCCCCGAAGAAGAACATGGAGTACCTAAGGTCACTGACACTTTGAATCCCATCCAAGGGGCTTGGAGCAAAGCCAACGGGCAGAGGCAGTCAGGAAGAGGCACTGAGGGGCTCCAGTTCCAGGATAGCCTTGAGCTTTTCAGGGACCTCTGGCCAGTGAGGAATGGGCCTCATAGAGGCAAGTAAGGAGAGAGGCTTTCTCAGGCCAGCACACATGTGTCCCTCCCTATCCAGAACTTTGGGGGTTAAGTCAGATCCGGGAAGGGGAAATCTTTTCCCAGCAGCTCCGCCCCAGTGACTCAGTCCAGAGGGAGGGGATGGAGGGGAGAGGAGAAGGAACTATCAACTTCAGCTTCCCCAGCTCCTCAAGGGTCATGAGTCAGCAAAAGGCAGGGCCAGCCAGCAAGTAGAATGCCATCTCGTCTCTTCCTCCAGTGGGCCCATCTCTCCCTCCCACTCTACTCAGCACCCCTTTTCACCCCCTGTTCTCCTTAAAAGAGACAGGCAATGAACCCCTGTCCCACTTGGCCCACAGATTTCAGGGAAATGCCTCCCTCTCCCGGTCCATCCCAAAGGGAAGTCTCCCTCGACCCTTGGCTTCCGCCCATCAGGTCAATAGCTGCCCCTCCCAGAGGGCCACTCAGTTCCTTCCCTCCCTCCGCATCCTTCCTTTAAACTAGGTCCCGCCCTGTTTCTTCTCCCAGTTCAACAAGTTCGAGGACAGATAAACCCTTCCCTGGACTCTTGCACCAGCCTCCTGACACCCCTTAGTTCCAATAGGAAGCCACCCGAGGCTGCCCTCCCACTCTGGGTTCACCACATTCCCACAGCCTGCCTTGTTCTGGCTAGTTGTGTTGGGTTTGGGAACCTCCCTGAAGTCCCCGGACAATCCCTAGAAAATAGGGCCAGTTCTGAGGCTCCATAGCTCCTTCCCAAGCCCAGTGACTGCACAGGAAAAACTGCAGAGCCATAAAAACTCATTTCCAGGAATGAGAGAGCAAGCAAAAGAGATGTGAGAAGGAACCAGCTCTATTGCTCAAGCCTCTCACTGCTCACAGCATGCTCCAGGCCAGCCCTTTCTGACCTTGAGGTGCCAGGGCCCTCAGGCTCCCCACCAGTGGGCACCATTTGTTGGCACCAGCTGGCCCAGTGAGCCCAATCCATAGCACTTGCCTTAAGTGGCAAAACTATAGAACCAGGAGGTGAGCTCTGAGGGCCCAACCCCAGTCTGACTGCCTCTACTTGGAGCAGAGGAAGGGCAGGAAGCTGGGGGTTCCTGTGGAGAGAGACTTGAGGGGGTGACCCAGCACCTCTTCATCTCCCCCCACAACTTCCGTCTGGGGAGACTTTAAAGTGTGACTTCCGGTGCTGGTCCCAGGGCTGCAGAGTAGAGCGGAGAAGTAGAGATGGACCCTGTGGTCTAACCCTGACCCAGCCACCTCTCAGGGACCCACTTTGCTCTGCCATTTCCCCACAACAATGTGTTCATTAAATTAAAATGTGTTTGTTCATTTAATGTCAAGATCTTGGAAGAGCTCATGATATTGTCTCCTCCAAGGACCCTGTTGAAATCCCCACCCCCACCATGAAGCCCTCTATTGAGGATGACACATGTTTTCCTCACCCAAGTCCATTAGCCACTCATCCCCCAGCAACCTTGAATAACACGAACTGACCATAACTACTTTGGTCTCTTATCATACAAAGGTTATTTAAGATGAATAGATATGATCTTCCCAAACAGGCCACAAGCCCCATGAAATGAGAGATCAGAGAGTATCTTGGTCAGAACCCTATCTTCCCCTCACGGGAATCCTCTCAGTATCAGGCCCACAGAACTAGAGGGACAGATTAACATGGATTGATCAGTCTGTCTTCCATTCCAGTTGAAACTAACAATGACTTCAAGAGGGAAGTGGGGAGACAGCACCCTCCGCATTGAAGTACATTTATATCCTGGGGAGAGTTTTCAGACTCAGCATTCCCAACACACACAGGTACACACAAGCACACACACGCACATGCCTCTACTGAAGATTTTGAGAACCCGCTGTTAAGATCACACTTCCACTTGGCTAGTCCCCAACTCTTAATATGCCCCAAACTTAATTCATTCATCTCTCACCTAGAGTCACACCACAAAATTCTTGGTGACAATGCCAAGACATTTGCCCAGCCCTCTCCTCACAGCCCCTGTCCCTAACCCTGCTGCTGTCCTATCAGTTCATTTGCCAGTCCTTCCTCTGTGATTTTTCTTTCTTCTCCATGTTCCTCGATGGCCTCACATCTGGATTATTGATGATTGTAAAGGTCTTTCTCTTTCCTGTTCCAATCTTTCCTATGCTGCTCAGAATGCCCTGAACTCCTGGCTCAAGTGATTCTTCTGCCTTAGCCTCCCAGGGAGCTGGGACTGCAGCCACCTTGTCAGGCTTCCCTCATAGTTTCTTATCTGTGTTCAGGCTTCAACTTGTTCCACAAGTGTGAGAATCTTCTCCATCTCCAGGGCCTGCTGGAAACATCATTTTCATTCCTTCCCTGAATGCACATGTCAGAGATATCTAGGCACTTTTATTCTGAACATAGTCTAGGCACAGAATGGGCCCCTGAAGAATAGTTAATGAATGAAACTCTCCACCTGGATCCATATTCAAGGTTCTTTTTCACACATACCCACTCACTCTAATATTTCCACTCTCATTTTCTACTGTTCCTCACATGGACGTTCCAGGCCAGCTAGTAGATATTTAGCTCCTGTCCCCACCACCTCTCAACAAAATCCCATCTCTCCATTCCTCTACATTTCCCCAAACCAGTCTCCCAATTCCTCTGCCTTCCTCCCTTTTAGCTGCCAGACAGTGACTTAGACGTCAGCTCCAAATCCACTTTTCTATGAGGCTTTCCTTCCCTCATTTCA